AAGGCTTGTAACCCTAATGGGGAAGAGGCTATTGAATATGAGATTTTGAGAGATTTTTCTCTTTGGTTTGTTTTAGAACTTTATAGAACTTATCAATATTATTCTTGTGGCGTTCTAACCTGACTTACCATTCTCGTTCGTAATCGTTCGAGGGTGTGGCATCAACCAACTTTATATCTTTGGTTCTTGTTGTGTCATAGACAACGGGTCAAGGTTTTTACCTTTGGTTTTTGTTGTGACATAAACAATGGGTCAAGGTCCTATTATCAATCTGATTTAGCTTTCTTGGAGTTTAAAAATCCTTTGTCGTGCTATGGGTCTCATTGTTCTCTTTGGGGTTCTCATCAAGAGAGCTATTAGTAGTTCCCAGGGCCACTAAAAGCTTGACAGCTCACCCAAATCTACTTGTTAGCTACTACACCTCTGACCCATTAACCCAAAAATCACAAAAATGCCACTGCACACACACACATATATATATATATATATTACTTTTCCTTCATTTTTCAACATGAGAGAACTGATTTCACAACCAAGAGTTTCTCCTTCACGCACCAAAAACATCCTTTCTTCCTCTTAAAGATACTTTGTCGTCAACCTCTCGTCCTACACACTGAAATCACCCAAAAATCACCATTTTCTTCATATTTTCTATGCTTCCAACATTGCAGAGTAATTTCTAGACTTGCAAAACAATTTCTAGACTTGTAGAACATCATGGCTGGGAGGCAGCATGTTTCAGTTTCAACTTTTGGGTAAACTTGAGCATCAAAGGATCAAGCTAAAAAGTTAGCATCAAAAAAAGGATCAAGCTACTCCACTCACGAGCCCCCAAGCGGTCATCCTTCCTTCTCCCATCACCACTTTCTAGTTTATTTCTTTTGTCCTTAAAAGAGTTTTAAAGGAGGGATTGTTGTATTTTTCCATCTACAATATAAGGGTTGCTCGTTATAGAGTGAGGGCATTTACTAGAGATGGTAGAGGTCACATTTACTGTCATTATTATTATGTCACAATACTTTATGTATGAATGTGATTCTCAAGTTGTGATTCTTAATCTTCATGTGTTCATTGACCTTAATGCTCTTGCCACAATGTATATCTCCTCTTCATACTTCTTGGTAGTTGTGTGATCATTCTCGGCTCTTAGAACTTCATCACCCTTGATCATTTCCCCTCTTCATAGCTTGGCTAGCAAATTTATACTTTCAAACTTTGTTGGAGAGTTTGTTGTTGGGCATCATTGCTAGACGAAACGAGATGGCCCATAGCACGTAACCTTTTACACGTGGAACGGGTGCCGTCAAAAAGACCTTCCTCATCTTTCACGGGTGGCATCCTAGTTAGCCTCCATATTATCGCTACTACTGACTCATCAACCAACATTACTAGCACACCTCAACAATCGGTTTGCTGTTATCCATTATTTTCCAACACTGAGCGCTAGAAAATATTAGTAATTTTTTCTAGCACATTTTTTTGCCCTGAAAAATAACTATTTGGCACATATTGTTTTTTCATCAACATTTTCTAGTGCATAACGCTGGAAAATTCTCATTTTCCAGCACATTTTAATTATTTTCTAGTGCAAAATGCGCTGGAAAATAGCCTTTTTTGTAGTAGTGGTTTCTGGCTTCTTCTTAGCTCTAGTTCTTATTTTAAGACCTTCTTGAATGCACAATGGATCACTTGACGCCATACATGTGTTGTTCTCTTGATTTCCATCACTAATCTCTCCCCATGTGATTTTAAGGGTGCACCCCCACGTTGCATAGTACTTTCAAAGAAATTAATTTCTTCAGGTGCTAGCCCTAAGACTTGGATTTCCTTGCTAATCACAATGATCTAGTTACTGATGAAGGATTTGGGTTTGGTATGAAGGGAAACAATTAGCAAGAGGGATTTGAGATTAATGAAGGTTTGGGAGAATTCTTTTTTTAAGATTATACATGAAATTAAATTAGTTTTTTTTGTTTGGAGTTATAAATTTTATAAAAATTAAAAAAGAAAAATCACAACCATACTAAATATAGTTTTAGTTATTAATTAATTTATAGTTGTGGTTTTTTATTTTTGACTTTGGTTTTCATAAATTTTGCAACTACTGAAAACCCAAAACAAGAAATCAAAAGTAAAAATTTGTTTAAGACAAAATTTAATATTGATAACAAAAAATATAAATTTGTTTAGTAGTTTTAAAACTAATTTTTTTCTTATTTATCTAGTAATCATGATGATATGTTGCAAAGAAGCATAAAAATAAACCAGTTTTGTTGTTTAGATTTACAAAATTTATAAAAACAAAAACCAAAAACCTAATACGACAATTATACTAAACAAAACTGTAGGCTTCATTTCGGAGCGTTGTGCTAAGTTGTATTATGACTCTAGATTTGTCTTTTCCTATCCCAAAAATATATAACACATTAAGTATTGATTTATAGTTTATGAGATTAGTGTTTATTAGATGAATTTTTAAAAAATTAGGTAAAAAATATTTTAAAATTATGTCATTTTAACGAAGTATCATAAGAAAAAATCAAAAAAACTATCATTCTTGCTTTAAAAAATAAGTTATTTTAGTTTTTTTTTTTTCAATTAGAATTTATTAAAATGATATAGTTTTGAAGTGTTTTTTAACTTAATTTTTTACTAATCTAACTAATAAACATTTTTCCCATAGTATATTAACGAGGGTAGAATTGTACCCAAATCTGAAATCCAACTATCGTCCAAACAATTACATTTCTTCATATTAGGAATTCTAAGGATATTCGAATTTTAATTCGATCAATAATCTAATAGGAAATTGTAAATAAATAGGGTTTAGATACAGTTTGGCCACCGATTATAGGGGTCTTTTTGGCTCAACGGTGGAGAAAACAGGGTTGAATTAGGTTGGGGTTTCGGGTTTGTAAAGAGAAAACTGAAGCTCAGGAGCTTCAGTGTGTCCTGAGAACAGGACAAGTCCAGGTATTTGAATCTTAGCCTTGCCAGTTTTTTAGTGCTGCTAGTGGCTAATTATGGTATGATTTTGATGCAGCTAGTTGTTAATTTTTCGGGACTAACACTTCTTAATGAAATTGCATGATTTCAAACTTCTCTCTGGTTTTCCTGTATTGTTTCGGTATTGTTCCGGAAAAAAATTCAATTTTCCTCTTTAACACTTCATGCTTTGCAAATTTGATACAAAATTTGGATTGGATATAGGATATTTTGTTTGTCAAGGCTAAGTATATAATGGCCTCCACCTTAGTGGCAAAATCTACCACCCTATATAATATGTCATTAATGAATGCATTCTTGATTCTATTTTCATGCTATGGAATAACCTTTTTTATGGGTGGACTGTAAAATGGTATACTTTTCTGCAAAATGAATAAATCTATTTTGTAGGAAGTGTAAACAACATTAGGAGTATTATTTTTTGATTCTGTTTCCAAAAGTTCCAAATAATAAATATTTCCTTATGAAATAAAATTCATAGCAAATTTTTATCTTACATTTTTAAAGATAATTATCATTTTATTTATCTCAACAATTTATATACCGTGGAAAAATAGAAAAATAAATGGTTATGATTAGAACATAGGTCCCATAAGCTCTAAAAAAAAAATTTAATATATATTAGTAATCATTTATAAAATTTCCAAAATACATATTTTAAAAAATCCCTAAATTTTAACCCAGCAAATTTTGCTTTTGCCTTCTGTCTAGAAAAGCCTCCACGTCCCTCGTATTCTTCTCTGCTTAATCAGGTTTTATTATTATTATTGCCTTCTTTCTTGTTTCAATTTTGTTCATAATTTTATTCTTATGTAATCTTTAAATTTCTATTCTTTACGTTTGCTTCGCAATTTTTGCCATTGTAATTTTTAAGAGTGGAAGTTCAGCATTCTCTGTGCAATGGGCTTGTTTTGTTTATTGTGTTGTGTTCTAAGGTTTAGTTTCGTGCCGATTTGTTTAAGAAAATTCGCATGGGTTGATTTATTTGTTGAGTCAAGCAATGTGAGAAAAATTATTAGCTTTTTTTTTTTTTCGTTGAAAGTTCACATTTTGAAGAAAAGGACAATAAAATCTCTTTGAAACTCATAATTCACATGCCAAATTTTAAAATAGAACAAAGAAAATCAGAGAAGAGAAAGAAAGGAAGAGGAGAATATGTCATCAGGTAAATTTTGAGTTTTCTTTTTTTATTAATTATGAGTAGTTAAAGATTTCATTACATGGATCTAATTCTCTATGGTAATTTTTTAAATATAAGTAATTTGTTACAACTAGGGAAAAGGGAGAAAGGGGACAGGTAATGGGAAAGGAATTAGTAGGGCTTGAATACAACCCATCCTGTAGTGTGGATTTCTGTCTATTACATACAGTATTTTTTTTTTTTTTAATTTTCTGTTAACTTATAAGTTTTGATATATGATAATTACTTAATGAATTTATATTATGTATATTTATATTATACTAATATTCGGTAGGTTATAGAAAATTTCTTTTGGGCCCCCAAACTTTCTGCTCAAACTCCGTCCCTGGTTATGATTGTGTAAATCTTGTTTGTAAAAGTATCATATTGATCTCTTAATACTATATTCCTAATTGAATTAGAATTATTCTAATTTGATTTATCTTAATCTTGAATTAATTTAATAGGAATCTGTAAGAGTAGGTCCGAGGTGCCCAACCTTGGACGGACGACAGTAATTCCTTCACAACCGAAGTGAAGAGTAAATCCAGAGTTTCCCGCTCGAATAGCTACACAGCTGTTACGATGGACATCCTCGCATCTAAGTATATCTCAATCTCCCGGTCTCGAAATAACTGCTTGGAGATACACATCAAATCCCGAATATCTTGCTTGGCTCAATCTCCCGGTCCCGAAATAACTGCCTGGAGATACACATCGGATCCCGGAGATCTTGCTTGGCATCTTGTTTGGCATGCCGTGTGGATTCTTCATAGGAACATATAAATACTCCTTAAGGGTCACGCCAAAAGGTAATTGAAACCAGCCCTAAGCTCCTTGTTCCTCCGCTCTAAAGGTAGCCTCGATTATTGCTGACTTAAGCATCGGAGTGTCTACCCCGAGGATCCACCTCGGGGCTTTGCAGGTCAATTCAGAGTGCAGATCCGGACTAAAGAAGGACTTCTGGTTTGGTGCAGTTACATTTTGGCGCCGTCTGTGGGAAGCTGAACTAAAGGCTCCTTTGTTGCTCTTATCATGGTTAAAACTAGGTCAGCCCGAGGTGGAAACTCGTCTAAGCCTCTTGGACGAGGTCAGGTCCCCAGCAACCTTCCACCTCATCCTCCACCCCCAAACCCAAATACATTCCCTCCTGTTGATCATGCAGAAGGAGAAGACGAAAATCAACCACACAATTCGGTTAGCAACTCAGCCTCTACTGCTAACCAAGACGTAGTCACAACTCAGCTCGCGGCCATGCAACAGCAATTTGGTGTTTTTCAGCTAGTGCTGGCTCAGTTATTAGCCCGGAACAATCCTGGTGATCCACTCATCAACCTACTTAATCCTGCTCCATAGCCTCCAGCCCCACCACAAAATCCTGACCCAGTTCAGCATGCCCCCACTGTTAATGAATCTCAGGGCCAATCTCACATCGCACCAATTATGCAACCCCCTCGTGATGATGTCACTCGACGTTTAGATAGCTTAGAAAAGCTAGTGGTCGAACAGCGAGGTGTCCCACCTCCACACCCTGCTACTGACTCCGTACCTCACCCTCTCAACACCAATATTATACTGGAACCCTATCCCGCTGGCTTCCGAATACCACAGCTTGAAACTTATGATGGGACGAAGGACCCCGATGATCATCTACATGCTTTCTACTCTTGCATGCAGGCCCAGAACGCCTCTGATGCGTTGATGTGTAAAATCTTTCCCTTTACTCTCCGAGGTAATGCTTGAACCTGGTACTACAGTCTACCTCCGAGGTCAATCAACTCGTACATAGAACTGGCATCTGCTTTTGCCACAAAGTTTTCCAGTAGAAGGTTGATCAGGAAAACCACTTCCGAGCTGATGCGAGTTAAGTAGAGGGACGGAGAGTCTTTGAAGAATTTTATGAGTAGATTCAATGATGCAGTGCTAGAGGTTAACTCTTTCGACCAAGTAGTAGGAATTACAGCTGTGATCTCGGGTCTCGGCCATAAAAGATTCAGAGATAGTCTACTTAAACATCCTGCCACCACCTTCAGTGAGGTAAATGATAGATCATTGAAATTCATAACTGCTGAGGAATATGCCCTGTCGCAGAACATCACCCCTGTTAAGAATCAACACCCGGACTGGAGAGATGAGAATCCGAACAGGAAACGGATGAAGACAACACAGAACTGAGGTCCGATGTCGACCCCGAGATTCGGAAGGCCGAACTCAGCACCTCCGCAACAACCTGCAGGTAAACCTCCAGTTAATTGGACTCCTTTTAATTTACCGAGGTCACAAATCTTTATGCAGATTAAGAATAAGATGGACTTAAGACGTCTGGGTCCAATGAGAACTGCTGCTGCTACCAGAGACCATACTAGGTACTGTGATTTTCATCAGGATCACGGTCATACAACAGAGCAATGTAATAGTCTGAGGTCCGAACTGGAAAGTCTGGCACAGAAAGGAATGTTGAATGAGTACATCTAGAGAGTGGAACAGCCAAGGTTTGTCAGAGAACAAGGGCCACAGCATCAAGCAATCCGCAATCCCCCAAACAGACAAGGTATGGGATATCAGCAAGCCCCACCCCCACTCCCACCACCAACTAGAGTCATACACATGATTACGGGAGGTCTGGAAGCCGGTGGACTGAGCTCTAAGCAGCGAAAG